CGCAGCACATGTAAAATTTATGCAATTATTAATTTAACACTCCTGCAACACTGCCGCCACCGCGCCCACGCGTTGCCACCCACTGATCCCCACCCTTAACCCATGTTATTCGAAACCGATTGCGAACCGTTCTCCGGTATCAATGGTCATGGAGCTAACACAGATCCATCCTGACCCGGCTAAACGTTTCCTGCGCAAAACCGGACAGACTGTGGCAGATGAGAAGAGCCCACTGGGTACTATTGTTTACAAAGTTCTAACCTTTATTAAATGTTGTGAGGAACTATTATACTATTACTAAACGAGGTATACAAAAATTTCCTCTAGCGTTGATGTTCTTTGCCTATGGATTTCAAATACTTGTAATTTATTATAAACGTTATGTCGTACCTGAACACATAGAAAGAAGTACTTCCCATCTCTGGCAAGAACTACAGATTTGGTCCACATCCACCCGCACTGGACCGCCATAATTTACTCGACGAGCAAAAACACTCACGAAAAATAATAAATGTCCAATATGTTAGCCCGTCCTGGCAACACATACGAAGCCAAAAGAAAGCAACACCCAACACACTGCCGGCACAAAATCGACATCAGTGGCAGCAGCAGCAACAGCAACAGCAACAGCAACAACTAAGCCGAAAAGAACAGCAGGCTCTTGGTCTGAAGACCTTGAATACCCTATGTAAGGTAATTTCGAATTCCGAGTCGTTTAAATTTGATTTAAATTATGGTAGGGAAAGGATCATATTTGAAACACTTACATAAAATCGGAAAATATCTGATATACATCCTTTTTTTATTACGTTAAATGCATAAAGCCTTTCGATCTACCATCACATTGTTAAGATTGATTGTATTTTATTATTTCAATCTTGCAGGCCTGAAGAAATACCAATAATCACCCCTTCTAAAATTAAAAAAAATTAAAAAAACTTAAGTGCTAAATGTTTTCTTTGTTAGCTTTTTAAAATCGTGCTGTTGTGGGAATCCTCTTTTAGTGTGCGCCATAAACCATGTTTATTCGGCATGTGTGGGTCAAAGGTTGATAAGAATGAAGAAGGAGGGAGCAGGAATGGGGGAATGGAGGATTAGGGGAGTCGCCGGATGCTGGGGCCACCTGCTAGGCTCGAGTGCATGGAGTGAAGTTCCATTGCGAACATGGGCCAGCATGTCGCTCCATTAATTTGCCATAAAACAGAAGTGGACTAAAATTTGTTTGCCGTTGTTATTGCCCCAGCAAAAAATTACAAATGGTTCAGTTCCAGGAGAAGCAGCAGGCCTTGGTTGGGGGTGGTTGTGAACTAGTTGTGGGGTCAACGCTAGGGTCTTCTTATTTATGGCGCAACCACTTTTGATGTTCTGTTAAATGTCCGCAATGACACATTGATACTTATATGTATTATACTTACAAGTATATTTTTGAAAAAACAAACACAAAAACAACATAAAGTTCGGTCAATATTTAATACCACCAAGTACAGGGAAGGAATTTATTTTTGAAAAGACAGTTTAGCTACCGAATTCACATTCCATTTATGTTTTTGTTTATGGGGTGCCTTATAAACTTTAGGTGAAAGCCAAGTATTTATAATTTTTTAATGCACTTTTTTTTGGGACCTTTTAAACCTTTTAAAATCGTATTGAAAAGAGGGTGCGTAGGAGATCCAGATTACGGATCTAGTGCAGCAGCGCCTCGATGTAGCTAAAGAACGTACAGCCCAGGGACACCAGCAATCCTCGCAAATTCTAAACACTTGTATAAGCCTATTAAAATATAGTATAGAGAACACAGTACACTACTCCGCGACTATCAGTAGGCACCAGTCAAAATCTAAAGTTTCGACACACATTCTATTCGAAAAATCAAATTTGTATCAGTCGACCCCCGTCTTTTAGCAGCCAGATGGCCGGCATCGTATTTGGCGGTATCGCGGCATGTCGCCGAACCACTCACTACTTGGGGATCCTACGGTCCTCCTACCGCCCTATTGGGTCTAATTCATCCATTAAGCCACTGCACCACCGACGACGTCGATACACCAGTTCCTCAAAGTCCGGGAAATCGCCTGAGAAGGGCCCAGGTCGGTTGAACCCAGGCAAAAAATTACAAATGGCTCAGTTCCAGGAGGAGCAGCAGGCCTTGGTTGGGGGTGGTTGTGAACTAGTTGTGGGGCCAAAGCTAGGGTCTTCTTATTTATGGCGCAACCACTTTTGATGTTCTGTTAAGTGTCCGCAATGACACATTGAGGACATTCCCTTTTTGTACCTAAGGCATATAAAGACATAAGTTGTGGGCTGTTGTGATCTGCTATTCATTCCATTAAGAAGGTGCAGGGACAAGAAAGCTTAGACCTATATCGTAGTTATAGGCTCAGACCTTATATATAGTTTTAAGCTTATAGGCAGCCTTGCATTTTTGGCTGAATAATCAAAACTAGATTGTACTTACATTGAAAATGTCATGGTAAATGCATTACAGTAGCTATTATTGCATACTTGGTATAATAATCACAAGCTTAACCAGGTGCAATATCTCACTCCAGCTTGAGGTTGCCATTTGTTTTGGAGTTTTACCCATGGGGGGAAACCAGACAATATGCAACTAATATCGTATATGCAAATTAATTTTAATATTAAGTTTATAAAATTCTGGTACTGCTTTAAATAAGATACTTATATCTCGCCCCCATGTGCTTGAAAATTATACTCGTACTAACTGCAATTGCACCCTTCTATGCACGTTCTACCTACAAACAAATACACCTCATAAATGTAATGCACAGCCAAACAGCTGTACTCAAGTGCTGATAAGGGTGATAACATTTGACCACAAATGAGAGTGGGTGTGGTGCCCATTATTTTCCTATCGCTGTCCGCGTCGCCTACGTCACTCGAACTGATAACCGCGAGTTTAGAAGTCAACTAGTGTAAGGTTTTAAATATTGGAATCAGTTGCGAATCGGCTGCCCGAGCGAGTGGTTTTTCGAGCTCTCAAATATTTCATTTAACATATAGAAATGGCCAAGGATAATCTGACAGCAGTGCTGCACGGCATTGAGGACATGCGATTGGTAAGGACAACATGATGTTGGATCGAATAATTACTGACCATGTCTATTTGGTTAACAGGAGCAACTTCCCATCCCAGAGATTGCCGATGATGGTAATAAATACAACATATGCACCAGTGTCAACAAAGTAGTTTAAAACTGGATAATTTTTGGTTTAGCCCAACAGCATTATACTTGCCCTATATAAATATTTCTTTCACTTCTAAACTGTTTAGTTCAACCCCTTTTTCATATTATTTCTTATCACGTTGATGACCTACAGCCTGAAGCAAAGTATCCCAAGGTTAAATATAAATGATTAGGCTTTCAACTGATATGCATTTTTGTTAGTTTGACTAAGCTAACTAGATTTAGTCTATTTAGTCCCATTTCGTATTTCATAGTATTGGTTCTGTTTTCTACCGCTTAGAGGTCCTCCTGGCCATGGATAGTGTCGGCATTTGCGGCTCTGATGTACACTACCTTGCACATGGACGAATTGGCGACTTTGTGCTCACTAAGCCCATGGTTATTGGCCACGAGTCCGCCGGTGTGGTGGCTAAGCTGGGCAAGAAGGTGACCACACTGAAGGTCGGCGACCGCGTGGCCATCGAACCGGGAGTACCCTGCCGTACTTGCGACCATTGCAAGCAGGGCAAGTACAACCTGTGCCCCGGAATGGTCTTCTGTGCCACGCCCCCCTACGACGGCAACCTCACCCGCTACTACAAGCACGCGGCGGACTTCTGCTTCAAGCTGCCCGACCACGTCACCATGGAGGAGGGCGCCTTGCTCGAGCCTCTGTCCGTGGGCGTGCATGCCTGCAAGCGGGCGGAGGTCACCCTGGGCTCCAAGGTTCTCATCCTGGGAGCAGGACCCATCGGCCTGGTCACTCTGATGGTATGTTCACCTTATTCGAAAATCATTTACATGTTAGATCCATACAAAAACAAAAACGCTTTTTAATCCGGTAGCGTTATTTACTAGGTTAACAAAGTATATTTTTGAAGTTTCTCTCCAACACAAAATTCTGCCAAGACTTAATACCTCCAAGTACAGGGAACGAAGACTATTTTTAAAAAGATATTTTTTGTTTATAGGGTGCCTTATTAACTTTAGGTGAAAGCCAAGTATTTATCATTTTATAATGCAGGTTATTTGGGAAACTTTTTAAAATCGTATTTTTAAATAAGACAAATTGTTTTTATTCCTTTTAACTACAGGCTGCTCAAGCCATGGGTGCGTCGGAGATCCTGATTACGGATCTAGTGCAGCAACGCCTCGATGTAGCCAAAGAACTAGGTGCAACTCACACGCTCCTGCTGAAGCGGGACCAGACCGCCGAGGAGACGGCGGAGCTCGTCAAAAAAACAATGGGCGGTCAGCCGGACAAGTCCATCGATTGCTGTGGAGCAGAGAGCAGTGCCCGTCTGGCCATCTTCGTAAGTAATCATAAAGGCTCTCGGTGAAATAAAGAGCTATAACGCCGATTCCTTCCAGGCCACTCGTTCTGGTGGTATTGTGGTGGTGGTGGGCATGGGAGCAGCTGAGGTCAAGTTGCCTCTTATTAATGCTCTGGCCCGGGAAGTGGACATCCGCGGCGTGTTCCGATACTGCAATGAGTAAGTTTAATAGGTTTAAAGATATCAATTGATTACCCAAGAGCTATTTTAGCTATGCCGCTGCCCTGGCCTTTGTCGCCTCTGGAAAGGTGAATGTTAAGCGGCTGGTGACCCACCATTTCGACATCAAGGAAACGGCAAAGGCGTTTGAAACGTCGCGAAAGGGACTGGGTGGCGCCATCAAGGTCATGATCCACGTGCAGCCCAGGGACACCAACAATCCTTGCAAATTCTAAACACTTGTATAAGCCGATAAAAATATAGCATAGAAAACACAGTACACTACTCCGCGACTATCAGTAGGCACCAGTCAAAATCTAAAGTTTCGACACACGTTCTATTCGAAAACCCAAATTTGTTGAGCTTCCAGTAGTGTATCAGTCGACCCCCTTCTTTTAGCAGCCAGATGGCCGGCATCGTATTTGGCGGTATCGCGGCATGTCGCCGAACCACTCACTACTTGGGGATCCTACGGTCCTCCTACCGTCCTATTGGGTCTAATTCATCCATTAAGCCACTGCACCACCGACGACGTCGATACACCAGTTCCTCAAAGTCCGGGGAATCGGCTGAGAAGGGCCCAGGTCGGTTGAACCGGGAAGAGAGCGAAGCCAAAAAGCCAGATAACAGTACTGTTGGATTGGGGAATGCAGCAGCGCCCCCCGATCCTCCCAAAGTTCCAGGAGAGCGAAGACCGGAGTTGCCGTACGAGGTCAGGCCAGAGATCCTGCCCCTCCAGGATCAGCCAAATCGCTCCCAGCCATCGCCCACGGAAGTCAAGCCCCCAAATCCACAAACAATTGTCTGCAGCTCAGACAACAAAGGTCCCTCGGGGTCTTCAAATAATCCTTTGGGATCCAATGATGACATGGTAGGGAAGGTGGTTGAGTTTGGGTCTTCGGTTAGGACTTCTGAAAATAAAGGTGAGCGAGGCTGGGATGAAATTTTCTAGTTAAAAAAACCCTCTTCCATGCAGATTTTGATATAAAGTCAATTCCAATTCAGTCTACCAACCTACCACCATTTACTAAGTCGAAAGATGAGCGTAAACTGGATAACTTATTTTCAATTGAATCCGAGCTAAAGACGCTGGCAGCTTCTGTGTCTGATTTCATTGATGACCCTATTCAGAAAAACTTCTCTCTAATTAAAGCGGAACTCAAATCTACTGACTCGACCTCAAAAGATTCTAAAGCAGATAAAAGTTTGCTAGGATCATCAAAGTCGATTGACGATACGCCTCAAAAAACCTCTCCAAACACCCATGAATCAAAAGATATAATCACAGCCAAAGACAGTTCTAAGCCTCAAACTAGTAATACTACATCTTTGAATCCAAAGCCGGACAATTCCAAACCAATTTCATCTCTCAAGACTGATGCAAGTAAAAGCTTCAATCTTAAAATTATATCAAGCCCATTACAAGAAAACGCTAAGACCTCTACTCAAAATATAGAAGACTTAAAAGAAATCCCTAATCTAAAAACCGGAGTCACAAAATCTCCGAAAGAAGCTGTGAGTTCAAGCTTTAACATGCCAGGTGAAGGTAAGATATCGGGTATTAAAGTCAATTCAAATACACTCGTCGACAGAAGTATGGAATTTAGTAAGATGCTAGATAAAGCCCATGAAAAGAGATTCTACAATGTTGACACATACAACGAGAACCAAGAAAATCGGGATAGGATCCTTAAATGGGTGGAACATTTTAAATCGATTAGTAAGAAGGCTGCATCTACCTCCGAAACCAAAAGCATAGAGGCAAATCCGAATCCTACAGAGTATAAAACTAAGAAGCCGTATTTCATTGAAACGTTGGTTAAAAAAGAAAATATTTGGGTTCCCAAAGATAAGGCATCTTCAAATAATATTACCCTCTCTTCTTGTAAGGACTCTACTTCAACAAATACCTCTAAGGTTGTCTCTCAACTGGAATTGCCATTAAAAATTGTGGCCAAGCATGAAGCTCCAACTGAGTTTAAACCAATGTTAAAGCCTATCCCGTCGTCTGAACTGCGGTCGAATAAGGACACCAATTTAGATTCCAAAACTGAAGCCACTAAGCACACAGAATTTATTTTAAGTCAGCCTCCATCAAATAAAGGCTTACAGTCTCCGCCGGCCGATTCCCTAAAACTAAATCCATTTATTGGTAATTCCAACGGTAAAATAGTTGGAATTGGTCATAACGAACCTAAGAGTCAGTCTACAGAGGAAATAGTGGCCTTGTTTAAAGACGACTACGATCGTGAGCAATACAAAAACGAGGACGGCAAAGTCAAAGAACTATTCGAGGCACTTGAAAAATTTAATGATAATCCAGGTTCCTGGTGCAGTCAAGCGGAAGTTCTAGCATCGGATAAGAACAGAGTACAAATTGGAATTCACGAAAAACGCCACCTTGGCACCTCTGCCTCTGGCAATAAATCTAAAGATCACTTTACCAAACTTGGAGACTTGGACTCAACCATCCGAGAAGACGAAGCGGTACCAGATCAGAAAAACGAAGACTACTTCGTCAAACTCAGTAACTTGGCCTCCACTATCCGAGAAGAAAGCAGTGATAAGCTGAACAAGAATGCCGAGTCTGCAAAGAGTGAAAAGAACGAAAAAGAAAAAGATCATGTAGAACAGAAAAGCTTTGATCTAGCAGAGAAGGTTTCGTCGTTCATGAAGTCCGCCGAAAAGGGTGGTATCAAAGACGATGCTACGCAAAAACCACGAAGATTTGAGAAAGGAGAATCGAGGAGCAGCAGTAGCAAAGTTACAACTACATCGGAGCTAACCCCTAGCGATCTTTATGATCCAGTGTCTCCAGAGATTTCCTCACCAGCCCTTTCAGAAACAGGCAATGCGGAACTTAAGGAAGATGCCGAAGAATCCAGTCAAAGCCTAGAGGCTCCAGAGGTGAAGCCCAAAAAGGAGGAAATCAAAGTCAAGGAACCCACCTCAGTGGATGAGACCAGAACCAAGGTCGCCGAAAAGCCTCCGGTCGAGGTAAATCAAGCTAAGAACAAAAAGCCTCAGTTGGATGATGGGGAGCTAGCCCTGAAGCTCCGGGACAAAGCTACGGGTGAGATCCCGGCGACTGCAGTGCCACTGAAGCCAATGAAAGTTGAAAAAACCTTCATGCAACACCTTTTTGACAAGATCTTGGGCAGAGGAAAGAGCGACGAAGGCAAACGGCGAATGTCTTCTTTTAGTGGTCAACGTCACCTGAGCACATTTTCAATGAATACTTCATCTTATGGCATTGCCGCAGGGCCTCAGAATGGGGATAGGGTTCTCGTCAAGAGGGAGTTAGATCTGTTCGCCAAGAATGATGACACTGAGATAAAGGGAGGCTCGCCGGAGTGCTCGTCACCCAAAAAGTCACCGCGTGAGCTTCTCCGGGAGAAGCAGCAGACCAAGAACATCAAGATCCTTGGTGGTTCCGAGGAGTGTGCCAAGAAGATGAAGCGGCTGAAGGAAATCGCGAAGGACAAAGACGACGATGACTGCGACCGTCGATGCTTTTCTAACAATCTATCGCGCTTTTTACGCCAGCTCTGGGTAAGATTGAGTTCACTGAACCGAAAACGCTCTACGTCAGACTGTAGCATATAGATTAAGGCTAATGGGCACTTAGGAGTGGACTTTGTCATTTTTTAGTTTTACTATTATCGACAATATTTAAATGTCGCAAGTGATTCTTTTTCGGTAAATATGTCCAGGTAAAGAATCGATCAAGAATTCAACTAACCCACTCTTTGGCCAAATTTTGGGGGTAAACAGAACGGAAATATACTGCGAACTATTATCAGAGACCTATTTGAATGTCATATCGAGGTGACTGACGCCCAGCGAACTGTAGTATATAGATTAGCTTCATTTCACACGACATCGTAGAAAAACGAGGGAATTATTCAGAGTCAATTAAAATTTTATACCACCCCGGGGTCTGATAAGCTGTCGCAAAGCAGCGTCGGTTCAACTTTGATAGTAAAAGTCTGGCGACTACACAACCGAGCAATGAACACATTTTGAAATATAAATATAACTTTGGGAGGCAACCTAGGTTGTTTGTAGGTCAAGACAGAATGCTCTAACCGATGGGGGCACAGTTCTCTACAATTCCAGATGCGGCAAACCCCTCAAACAAAACTAAATAATCTGCTCATCTACCCGACAACACGAGATCCCGAGACCAGAGAGGTTGATGTCATTGAAATTGGATATCAGGCTGGATGGAATTATGCCCAGTATATGCATATACCCAAAAAGCGGTCGAACTGATGACATTCTGGAACCCATAAAGTGTACTTTAAGGAGCTTACGATTTGACTTTCGAATTATATTCATCACAATAAAATTTTAATTATAAAGCTATTAAAAATACCCATCCAGGGTGGTCTTAATCAGTAGTTTAAATTAACATTGACTCTAAATGTACATATAAGAAACTTTTGCCTAGTTCCGACATTCATTCATGCTTTTGTATATCAATGCTTATGTATATCAACAAAAAGATTTATAGATTCAATGTATGCATTTTTTTGGGCAGAGCGCTACTGGGGACTTAAGTAAGCAAACGCAGATTACAAAATCGAAAAGCTAGAGGAAAAAATTCCAATTTTTGGAATATAGTAAGGACGTGACGGATGTCTCTAGAATCCGGAGATCTCAGCGCTTATACGGACAAGCAAATGGACGGACAGACGGACATGTTCTACTCGGCTGGTGACCCTGATTAAAAATATATATAATGGGAAACGTTCCATTCTTCCTGTTACTTTTCAAGAAAATCTGGTATAACCTTTTCATCTTCTAGTAATTTGTACAATAAATTTGTAAATAAATTTAGGTAAATAATGCTTAATGAAGTATGTATTGCATTACACTTCGTTTTAATTAAACGGTATATCTATGCCATTTAGCATTAATTTCTTTTGGATCTAATAGTTTCTTGGATGAAATTAAATTTCTTATTAGATTTATTTTAAACATGTTATCTGAGATAATAATGTCAGTAAAACTTGTAAAATTTTGGAAACGGGGTACATCTCGGATTCAGTTCAGGTCCTGATTCCACAGACGAATCAACAAATTCTCCAGCTGTGGTTTTTCAAAATTCTTTGTAAAATTTTTGGTACAAAATTTCAAAATTTTCCTCGAAATGTTTAAGAGAACCGCTTTAGTTTTAAGTCGGTGTTTACAGCCCACATTTATACGGCCCCACCACATCAATGTCCTTGCAAGCTTGAAGGAAGGTAAGTACTAGACTTATATTCCTGGCTGGAATGTTAATGTTAATATTACTTCATAGCCGCAGATGATCTTCCAAATCAGGAGCAAAAAAGGTTTGTCGACGGCTCTATTCACGTTCAAGAGCAAATTCGTTCTGCATTCACCAACCCACTGCAACGAAAGTTTTTGCAAAACCTAGAGCAGCAGCAGGCTCTTAAGATCAAAACAAATCGGTGGCTTAATGAAGAGAATCAGGATGAACTTGAAAATATGAAAAATGAATGCCAGAGGGTTGCCTTAGAAATCACCATGGCTGCAAAAGATGGCGACATTAAAAAAGCCTGCAAAAAACTGGCTCAAAAAGAAAAGTGCAAAAAAAAAGAACTGAAAAAAAAATGCAAGAAACTGGCTGAAAAAGAAAAGTGCAAGCAAAAAGATTTGAAAAAGAAGTGCAAAGAATTGGAGAAAAAGACCAAGTGCGCGAAAAAAGATCCTTGCAAAAAGAAAGACCCTTGCAAAAAGAAAGATCCCTGCAAAAAGAAAGATCCCTGCAAAAAGAAAGATCCCTGCAAAAAGAAAGACCCCTGCAAAAAGAAAGACCCCTGCAAAAAGAAAGACCCTTGCAAAAAGAAAGATCCGTGCAAGAAAAAGGGTGGTGATTTAAAAAAGAAGTGCAAGAAATTGGCCGAAAAGGAAAAATGCAAAAAACTGGCCAAGAAAGAAAAGATGAAAAAGTTGCAGAAAAAGTGTAAAAAAATGGCAGAGAAGGAAAAGTGCAAGAAAATGGCCAAAAAAGACAAATGCAAGAAGAAGTAATAAGCAATGTAATACATACTCGTTTTGAATTCCCAATAGTAATATATTTCATTTCCTTCTTTTTCTTTTTTTGAATAAATATAACAAAAGAACGAAATAAGTTACTGATACTCTTTTCCATCATCTGTAGTTTTTGCGTAGTAGGGACATGGCAACCTTTTTAATCAAACAAGCGTCTAACACATGCATGTTTGATGTTATATATGTAGTTCCCGAGATCTCGACGTTAATACGGGCAGACAAACCTAAGTATCCTTACGGACGAACATGATACATCCCTTTCAACGAACATATTTTCTATGTTATACAAGTATTATGTAAAAATACATTGCGTTTACAAGCTTAAGCTTAAAAAGCTTAGATTAGTTGCGCTTTAAATATGTAATTAAAAATTAGCCTTGTTATTTTTAACACTTTCACAAGTTGTCTTTGAAGATAACGTCATCACGTTTGGGTAAAATACAAAAAATTATACAGTTTAGCCATTCATTTAGATGAGCTTTTCGTTAACAATTCGTTGTGACTTTTGTGCAAGAAAAATTCAAAATTTACCGTTATAATGCTAAAGAGACCTGCGTTCGTTCATCGGTGCCTGCAGACATCTTTTAAAAGGGGCAACCCTCTAAATGTTCTTGGGCATTTAAGGAAAAAGGGTAAGAGCTCATACAGTGATCCCATTGAAATGTAACCGATACTTGTTCGGTTTAGTAATTTGCAAGCCCGAAAGCCAACCTAGTCAAAAGCCTAAGAAATTTGAAGACGCTTCGATCGGAGTGATTCACATCATCAAGAACGAATACTATGCAATCACCAACCCCATGCACCGAAAATTCCTGGACGATCTGGAGCAGCAGAAAGACCAGAGGAACAAATTAAACCGTTCGTTGAAGGAAGAAAGGCGTGACGATCTCCAAAAGATGGTAAAAGAATGCCAAAAACTAGTCAAAGAGATCACCATGCAAGGTAAGGATAGCGATGTTAAGAAGGTCTGCAAGGAACTAGCCCAAAAAGAGAAGAGCGAAAAGGAAAAAATAAAGAAAAGGTGCCGGGAGCTGGCAGCTAGAGAGAAATGTGAAAAGGATCAGCTGAAAAAGAAGTGCAAGGAGTTGCGGAAAAAAGATAAGTGCAAGAAGAAAGTTGTTTGCGAAGTAGAAGAACCTTGTGAGGAACAAGATCCTTGCGAGAAATGCTGTTGCCCTTGTGCCAAAAAACCCAAGAAAGTCGACCCCTGCAAGAAAAAAGATCCTTGCAAAAAAGAGGATCCGTGCAAAAAGAAGAAGGTGGATTGGAAGAAAAAATGCAAGGAAGTAGCCAAGAGGGAACAATGCAAAAAGTTGGCCGAAAAGGAAAAGTTCCAGAAAATGATAAAGCAATGCAAAAAACTTGCCGAAAAGGAGAAATGCAGAAAAATGGCCGAGAAAGAAAAATGCAGGAAAAAGGCTAAAAAGGGGAAAAAGGACAAGTAAAAAAAGTAAATAACCTATTGAAACTAGAGCGGATTCATAATCAAAAATATCGAACTTTGGGACATTTTTGATTCAAATGAAAGTGCGATTTTTGTTAATAAAAACTTTGCCAATCTGGTTCTTCAGCTCGTAGTGTTTGTGTTTGATAATTCTATATATTATTTATCTCGTGTATAATGTTAATTTATACATAATAGCCAAATACGAGCCTTCATGACAATGACAAGTTCAACAATTAAAAAACTGAACGTCAATATCTGGCGTCATGGCAAAATTACACTCATAGTTGTTTTTCCATATAATAGTGTTTTAGTTTGAAACTGACACTCATAATGTTCAGCCTTCAAGCCAAATATCACTAACTTTGGAAAAAAATGCACCTGGCTAGACTGAACCTGCTACTATTATAAATTAATAATAAGCCCCACTTATAGTACGATCTCTAAAAAAGCATATTTTGAAAATATTTATCATACTTTCCTATCTGACACACTTACTGTGATATTTACGTCAAATGCTGGCCCATTTATTTTCCAGTTTTTGGAATATCATGGCGCAGATCGGGTCAAAATCCTCTTAGTTTTCGCCTTTTAACCCGATTTGTTTTTAAAATTATCCGTTAAATTTTGGAACCAAACCATAAACAAACCATGTTGAAGAGAGCCTCGCTGGCGTTAAGCCACTATCCCGATGCCTGTTTCCGTGTCTGCAGTTGTAGCACGTCCCTCCGGATGTATCCTGTAGTAAAAAACAGGGGGGATCTGAATGTTGTGCAGAAGTCAAATCAGGACTATAGGAGAACGCCGAAAAAGCTGCAGAGCGTGTTGAATTGGCAGAAAGGTGTGTTCTCTATTTTAGTCACACTGGTGCAAATAAAATTTTATCTTCAAAAATGTCGTTTTCAGGTACTTGCGATTCCCTTAGCCACCGACCCGATCAGCCGTTGCGAAGTGCATTCCTGGAGGATCTGGAGAAGCGGCTGAACCAGAGAATCCTAGTTTCTGAAGAGTTTCTGGGTCGTGAGATGTCCTTCAAGCGAAAAATGTTCTGCGAAACAGCCAGTTCCGCCGATGGGTGCAGGGAAGAAAAGTGCGGGACAGGGTCGAGTGCGGGTAAGAAAAAGCAGAAGTGTGGCAAGGGTGGTGGAAAGAAGGGCGATGATGGTGGAGATGATATGGAAAAGGTGAAAAAGCGATGCAAGGAGCTTCAATCCAAGAAAAAGTTAAAAAAGTGCAGGGAAAACGTCGCAATGAAAAAGTGTAAGAAAATGGCAAAGGCGAAAAAATGCCAGAAAATGGATAAAATAGAGCAATGCATGAAGTGTGTCAAAAAAGAAAGAGGAGAGGACGAGGGATGTGAGGTAAAGAAGAAATGCCCCGACGAGGAAGAAGAATTGGAAAAGCTGAACAAAGAAATCCAGAAATTGGCCGATCAAATGAACTGCGAGAAGTTGGAAAAAATAGAAGCCATCAAACGAGCCTGCCGAGAAGAAAAAGAAAGGGAAGAGTGCGCCCGATTGGCTGCAGAAGCCCGGAGGAGAGCAGAAGAAGAAAGAAAACGCGCAGAAGAGGAGGCCAGGAGATTGGCCGAAGAGGAAGCCAAAAAGGGGCCTGAAGAAGATCTGTGCGAAATAAAGAGACAGTGCGCCCAGCTGGCCAAGGAGGCGAGAAAGAAGGCTAAGGCCAAGCAGAAGAAACTCAAGGCCCTAGCCGCCAAAGCCAGGGCCAAGAAAATGAAAGAGCAGTGCAAGAAAATCGCTGCAATTCAAAAGTGCCGCAAACAGGCAAAGAAGGATAAGGAGGACAAGGAAAAGGCGGAATGCAAAAAGGCAGCTAAGCAGGAGGCGGACAGACTTAAAGCCTTGCGAGAAGCTGAGCAGGCCAGAGAAAGGGCCAAAAACGCAGATAAAGCCAAAAAAGCAATGTGCAAAAAAATCAATAAACAGCAAAAACCAAAAGAAGTCGATGTCTGCGCTAAATACAAGTTCAAAGAAGCAACCAAAAGTAAAGAGGATATAAGCAAATCTGCACAAGTAGCTAAAGCGGCTGTAAAAGAGAATATCAAACAGGAGGTCAAGAAGGAGATTGCTAAAACGCCACCTCCGCCTGCTCCCCAACCACCAAAAGCTGCTAATCCATCCCCACCGCCAGCACCACCCAAACCCAAAGCCAATCCCGACGGACTGTTCCAGATATGCAAAAAAATAGCCGAAAAGAAGCTAAGACAAAGGAAAAAGAAGATCAAGATCCTTAAGGCCAAATGCAAAAAAATAGCTCTAAAGGAACAGTGCAAGTGTGAGAAAAAAGCAAGAAAGGTCAGGGAATTGAATGAATACTGTAAGAAAAAGAAGTAAATGCGCAACCATATCACCATTCCAAGTTTAAAGATCTCCCAATGCTCCGTACAAACAAGTTCCTCAAAGCTTAAAACATTTGGCTCACAGGTTTTGGCTAGGCCCATCAATTCTTCGTTATCTTCTGTGTTTTATTACGATTATAGTCGTACATCAGTTTTAGGCACTATTGCTGGTTTATATAATGGGAAAAATTAAATTTGAGCATTTTAAATCGGAATTGACGTTTGTGCGTATTTATACGATTATTTATTTCAACACAGATGCGGTCAAAACAATAAATCCTAAATTCCTTGTACTTCTCGAAAGTTATTTTACTTCAAAATCACCGTACACACCGTATAGGAAGGTTTTTTATTTTGACTGCAGCTGTTTATGCTTCCTATTTGGACGGAAAGCTATTAATCAATAAAGGCAAGCCGATAAAATTTGCAAAAGGGAGAATATCTCCAGAGACAGCCGGAAAAAAAGTTAAAGAATATCATTGTGGATCTAGCTTAGAGATTCGATTACTGGATCGCTGGCGGTGCTGTGGCATTATTAAACTGGAAGGTCGGATAGCGGGGGGCGAAGGCTCCGTCCCCGATCATCTGTGTATGCTCGGAGTCGTCCCTACCAGCGATCGTTGGTGCCCGGTACTGTGTCTCCACAAACTGCGGTGGCGCTGAAAAATTAAATAGTAGTATTTAAATAACTTTTCCTTGTATATCGTGCTATAAAAGTACGTGCTATTAAGGTCATCCACATAACTCAACAATCTAAGTTGGTAAGTTTTTCAATATAAAATTCATACTCACGTATATTAGGATACAGAGAACCACCACCAGTGCTGTCAGCCACGTTCCAGCCTAGAGCACCACCCACACCATCGCCGCCAGGAGGGCTGGCCGGACTCACTGGCTGTGTGGGCGCCAGCGATGGATCCTCGGACTGAACCGCCGAGGGAGCATCTGTAAATTGAGTCGGTGGCTGTACGCCAGCCAATGGAATAGTGCCCAAGGTGATTGGCACCTTGCCGGTGAGATTGCGGTGCGGACCGCTGACCTCGCATTCCACATGCAAGTCGTAGTCCAAAGCGATAATACCGCAGTTAAGGAGGTTAGTCGGGGGCAGAGCTGGAATTTCCATTTGCTGCGTAAACGTGCGAGACTCGCCGCCATTGACTGGGCCAACACTTAAGTTGGCTATGATCACCTTGGACTCGCGCTTCTCGCTCCTGGGCTGGTTCGTGTGGAAGGTGACCAACTTTCGCAGTTCAAACTTTACTGCTGTCAGATTTACGCTGCTGGTGTTGTCCACCTCGCAGGTGATGGGCAGCACCTGCCCCGAAACGAATCCAGTTTGCGGGATGCTCGTAATAACAGCCAACGGTCCTGAGCGACAGCAAAAACAGCAGAAGGACTTTTCTAGCTCGAGCTTGAATGGTTCCTTGACTCGAGGATTGAGATTCAGATCAACAGGTGCTATTACTGTGAACGCCATCTTCATGTCCTGATCGAATTTCCAAGGACGATCAAGCGTCACCTTGATGGTAAAGCGCACGTGGCCGAATTCGCCCTCAAAGGAAGAGGGCAGATTAGGCGGAAGGGCACAGGTGAATGGATAAGTGTGTGTACCAGGCGGCAGTTCCGTCTCAGAGCCTGAAAAATTATACATTTTATTTTTAGCATTTAAAAAAGACCACTTATAGCTTATATATTTAATTCTTACTTGCAGAGGAAGGGTCTATCAAAGGTTTATTATTTTATATACATACTATATAAAAACATTGATTGAATTTCAAAAGAAAAGGTTATTAATGCTATAATGTGAATATTAAATAGCCTTACGAAATTTAATTTGAATTATAAAAAGAGACTAAATGTATTAATTTTAATTTTATTTGGATATCTTTTAATGGACTCTATAGGGAAACAAGCTTCAGTACTTGGTTGGTTAATAAGTACCAATCACATATGTAAGTTAAATAACAAAACTATGAACAGAACTAAATAACCCAAACATAAGTGAATGCAATACGGTACAACCCAAAGTCAATGCCACCAAAGAAGTGTCGCAACTTTGTGACACAATTTAATTTCAATAACCCAACATCCGCCGACTTAACATCCGCCCGCAACATCAGCGGCTTCAAATTGCTAACGCTGCAATTCGATGCCTAAATATTATTGGTCAGCGCAGCCCTGCCGAACCTCTGTCGAACCTCTGCCAGCAGCGCGGCCCAAAGTCACAGCTAACGTAGGGACAGCCTAACAATTGTAAAATTAGTCTAAAATCGAACCTTGAATAAAGAACCACTACTGTGGAATTTAAATCTTAGTATTTGAAATATTAACTGGCGCCCGAACAGGGACCAGTGGAAACGGATACAGTCTCATTAAGTTAAGACTTGAGGATTAATTTCCCATCCCAACTCACTGGCCCGCTGTTACCAGAGGACTCATCCCTTAAGACGGATCTGGTGCAGCAAAACCCCATCGGTGGATCGCAAGTCTTGTCAGGTCAGCCCGCAGGACAACCTCTATTGGAGTGATCGCAGGATCCCAAGTAGCAACAGCAAACAGGAACACATCCGGATCAACGGGAGGAGTGACCACATCAATCTCAATAATGTAAGCTAGTGAATAAGTGCAAAATTAAACTTACCTAAAACGAAAGAAAGAAAAGTAAAAACACAATTAAAATTCAATAAGCTAAAAGAAAAGTTTTAAAATAACAAAATTATTAACTAAGTGAAACAAAATTTAAATAATAAATTAAGTAATAGTGAAGTGAAAAATATTTAACGAAATTGCAATTATTCAAAGTGTGCTTTAATAAATTACATCAAACTGCGTAAAGCGATAATTAAAACCACACTGCATTGCACCAAATAAAAAGTGCATTTATTAGTGCAGTATAAATTAAACCCAATCTTGCGATTCCGAAATCAAAGGACCCTCCAAGGTAGAAGGGTAAAACCAGCCACTGGTTTTCACACAATCTAAAACAAACCCAATAAATTAAATCTAAATAATACTGAATAAAATCACACATGCAATTTCTTTAAATACGATTCACACACGAAATATTCATACAAAAATAATTGCTTGCACCAACCAAATAGGACAACCAAAATTATTAAAAAATCATTAATTACAATTTCTATTTCGATAAGTGATAAGTTTTATATAATTTTCAACTCTTCAAGACCAATTATTTTATTCAACACTTGCCCATACAAAGTTTAGTAAAATTTTAAAATAAGTTAACTTTTCAAATCAATGTCAAACCCGAATAATCTTATTAGACCCGCAATATTTGATACAGTAGAAACTAGCAGAAGGCAAGTAGCTTTCCAACAACACAGAGACATGGCACAAAACAACGACGTAGCACAAACTATTAGGCAGATTATAACAGAACAATTGCCTGTTCTGTTACAGCAAGCCCAAACAAACTCATTCGACTTCACTAACGCAGAAAATCAGAGTATCAACCCCGAACATCAAAGAAATTTGGATGACCTAGATAAGGTTCCAGACATAGTAAAGGGACTACGCGAATTTTCAGGCAATCCAGCAGAGTTCGGCTCCTGGAAAAAGGGTGTAGATAGGATTCTAGGAACATACGGACACATTAAAGGCACATCTAAATATTTTGGCATATTGCACACAATTCGCAATAAAATCACTGGCAATGCCGATATTGCTTTAGAAGCTTACAGCGTTCCCCTTAACTGGACTGCAATATCTAAATGCCTTACCCTACATTTCGCTGATAAAAGAGATTTGAGTACTTTAGAGTATCAGATGACTACAATAATACAAGGTCCCAATCAATCTGTAGAAGACTTCCACCAAAATGTCTATAAACACCTATCTCTGATATTGAATAGAATTAGTTGCATGGACTTAAACATTGAGTCACAGCAACTAATGACCAAATTATATAGGGACAAAGCTTTGGACACTTTTATTAGAGGACTACGGGGAGACTTGTCACGATTATTGGGTATGAAAGAACCCACCGATTTACCCACAGCCTTACATCTCTGCTTGAAATTAGAAAATCAAGCTTTCAGGTCCAACCATGCCAACAATAGAGCGCAATCAACTAACTTCCGGCAGGCATCTCAGCCTCCACTAAGACCTCCACCAATTCAGAGGCAGCTCCCAATTATTAGCAACCCGAACTTTCAAGCCAGGCCATTTTCACAACCAAGCATGGCTCCACAACCAGCCCCGCTCATCTTTCCTCGCCAAAACAACATTAATTTTGGACAGTACTACCCAAAACCAATCTTACCAAACGTAGGACCGATTCCCATTGCAGCTCGAACTCAATACATGCCACCACCTCGACCATTTGCAGCAAAGCCACAACCACGGCCAGAGCCTATGGACGTAGACCGAAGTCTTCATACAAGACAAATTAATTACATGAACAGACCAAATCCAGGAGAAGCAGGGAAAAGACCGTCTATGCCACTTGCAACCCAAAATGATGTGACCAAAAAACAGCGGCATTTTAATATCGAAACCTCCCAGACAGACATAACTTCTAATACTGACGAACAAAAAGAGACAGAGGAATCAGAAATGTCAGCGTACGTACAAACAGTCGCACATCAAGAGGAACAAGCAGACTTTGAACAATCTTTAACTGAATACTCTGAGATAATCAACGACAACAATGAGAATTACCAGTATGACTATACTTATGTTAATTTTTTAGAATAACAAATTCCTCACTTCCATATTACGAATGCAAGCTGAGGAATGGGAAAATTCTGAAAATTCTAATAGACACAGGCTCGAATAGAAATTATATTAAACCACAGTTAGTTTCCAACCCAAAACCCAATGAACAAACTTTTGACGCTGTCTCAGTAGGAGGCAACATTCAGATAACTCATCATAAGATGGCTTACCTATTTGATGACCCCAACGCAATAGTCAAATTTTTCTTATTACCTACTCTTAAAACTTTTGACGCGATATTAGGAAACGATAGCCTAAAAGAGCTAGGAGCCATTATAGACAC